GGAATTGGGCCATTGAGGATACCGTATTATTATACCATAGAGAATAAATTTTTCCTGACCCTTAGAAATCGTTCAATGTTGTTGTTTTTTTAACAACAAATTAATTTAGCCAACTTCAGTGAGCTCAGGGCTTTATCAATCCAACCGATTAAGGAAAAGTACAGAGTCCCTTTTTTGGTAAATTCTAAACAAATTTCCCACATTCTCCTAAAGCGGATAATGTTTGCATAAGCTCCATAGATGGCCGGTGAGAGAGCGTTATTGAGGACGTTATGGCCTGAAATGCATTTATTTGAGCTATTCTTATGGTTATATGTTCTAGATGAGGACGATAATCCAGTAGACGATAACGCAATGGCTGTTCGTACCACTTCTGGCCCTGGATTGCAGAGGCGGCGAGGTAGGGAATTCTGGAGCATTTTAGAGAGTTTTAGGCCTATATCCTTGTTTTTCCATTCATGATGAGAATCTGTTTCCTTTGTAATTCTCTACATAGCTTTTACTACAAGAATATGCGTTAACGTTTCGTGCAATACGAAGATCATCCAGAAGAGATCCTCTTTCTAAATATTTCGCAGCTGACATATTCACGAGAGTGACCTGGCCTTCCAACTATGATCAAAGAAGTAACTAGAATCATAAATGATAACACGATCTTCAAATCACTGTTTTGTCATAGACTTTCTCTTAAAAAAAAAACTTTTTTCATGCTAAAATGCTATTCATAATTACGTTATGATATCCTGTTGGATGTTTTTGTCGTTTCCTGCAAAATCAAAAATTAGAAGGGTCTATGGTAATCTACAGAAGGCCCCATCCCAATCCCACAAATTAGCAATATTGCAATTTTGAAGCTCCGCTCATTTCAAAAGAAAAATTAAGTGTCGTTTGGGCTTTTTTCGGTCTTCTACAATTTCAAATTCTACAAGCAAAGTAATAAACGGCACGACTTATCTGACGACTTATTACATTGTTTGAGAGAGTAGTTTTCACTCTGCATGTTTTTTTGGTTTATTCGTTGTGTCAGATTTTTCAGAATTCCTCATTTTCCGACTTTATTAGAACTGGTATACACAATTTATCATACGTATTGATACCATTTTTAGGAGCAATAAAACATGCCCGAGTACATGAAATACGTGGTCATCAATTTGTCGCCACATTCTTCCGACAACCCACATTTTGCTCCTTATGCTCCGATTTTATGTGGTATGTGTTTTTTCTTTCTCTTTTCAATTTTTGCTCAAATTTTTCCGATTTCTCAAGATTTGGCTCTAGGGGTTTGAACAAGCAAGGCTATCAATGCCAATTGTGCTCCACTGCTGTACATAAAAAATGCCATGAGAAGATCATCATGCAGTGCCCAGGATCAGCGAAAAACACCAAAGAAACGATTGTGAGTGGTTATCTCTCACATTATAAAATATTAAAACACCTACTTAACTAACAGACTATGCTAGCATTTTGTACTGTTTTTTTAAACTGATTTGAATTTAGTCCACTT